ACAGGTTCAATAGAAAGGGCCATACTGTTGCCAAGGTGACTAAAGGTCAAGATCATCTGGTCTCCAGGCAACCTTTTCTAGAGTTGCTTCAAATGCCTTCCCTAGCTTTCTCCAGAGAGGTCTCCCTGCCTTCCTCTAACAGCCTGGGGCCTCAGGAGGAGGAGAGCCCAAGAAAACCTGGGATGATGTGAGGTTTGGAATTTTTTTTTTCTTAAAGATTTTATTTTTAAGTAATCTCTACACCTAACATTGGGCTCGAACCCATACCCCGAGATCAAGAGTCCATGCTTTACCGACTGAGCCAGCCAGGCGCCCCTGAGGTTTGGAATTTTTGAAAGACAAAGTATGTGGATTAGGTGGCAGTGTCTACACTGGAAAGGAACAATCAGGCTATAGAAGAAGGAGGGTAGTTTCTCTTTACCCTTGTATCTAAAACACGCTAACATCAGAATTTTTTTTGTAAACAGTTCTACTGTTACATTCCCCTACTCTTGATTGATGTCATTCCTCCTGAAGCTTGTTAGGGTCTGAGTCATGACCAGCTGCCAGCTCTTCATTGACTTGTGAGGGAGGTGAGATGCTTATTGTGTTACCCAGCGGGTGAGAGGTCAGGTGACCAGTGTTTGAGTGAGGAGGCTGGTTAGCCAGGGAGTTCTTCTCTTTCTGATGTCATAAGAGATTATGGCTGCCCTGGGCAGCACAAGCCAGCAGTTAATTTCTCTAGGGCAGGTGATGGTGGAGGTTCTGTGGGCACATACTCCATGGAAATCAGCCTGCAGATTGTTCCATGCCAAGCTTTGAGATCCTTGCTGCCTTTTTTCTGGAGAACTTTCAGAGAAGTGAGCCAGGCCACTTGGAACAGAAAGAACCTTGTGCTGCCACGGTCACTGGGCTGCAGTTGTATATTTGCTGGGGAGTGCCGTCGCCCCTGATTTCAGCCCTGGTGAACGCATGCCAAATTTGATATGTTCCCTAAGGGCAACTAGTACTTAGGTTATCCTTTCAGTTACCTGTTTAAAAGAAAAAACCCTGGGGCTAAAAATATTCTTTTTTTGGTTTCCCCTATACCTCTTTAGTAGCTTTTACATTCCTTAGTGATCTGTTTTCCCATTAGATACATAAGCATCTTTTTTTAAAAAAAGATTTATTTTTATATATATTTTTAAAGATTTTATTTATTTGACAGAGACAGACATATCGAGAGAGGGAACACAAGCAGGGGGAGTGGGAGAGGGAGAAGCAGGCTTCCCACTGAGCAGGGAGCCCGATGTGGGGCTCCATCTCAGGACTCTGGGAACATGACCTGAGCCGAAGGCAGATGCTTAACTATTTGAGCCACCCAGGCGCCCTATTTTTATTTTTTTTACACTTGATCTTAGCCAAAAGGCCGAGAAGCAATTATTTTTATTTTTTTAAAGATTTATTTGTCAGAGAGAGATAGAGCTTGCATGCGCACAAGCAGGGGCAGTGGCAGGCAGAGGGAGAAGCAGGCTCCCCGCTGAGCAGGGAGCCCGATGCTGGACCTATTCCCAGGACCCTGAGATCATGACCTGAGCCGAAGGCAGACGCTTAACCGACTGAGCCACCCAGGCGTCCCAAGGTTTATTTATTTTTAGAGAGAGAGAGAGCCTGCGCCACCCAGGCACCCTGATACACAAGCATCTTTTTGCAGCTAAATATTCACCCACTGAGTTCAAGCCCCACGTTGGGTGTAGAACTTATTAAAATAATAAAATAAAATAAAATGTTCACCAGCAAATGCAAGCAGCTGTGATGACCGGTGAGCTGTCATGGAAAGGATGGAAAGGAGCGAGACCCCTGCATTACCTGGATTAGGTAGGAGGGTATCTAAGGAAGAAAATAAGAAAATTATCAGCATAAAAAAAAACAATAAAAATGATGGTTAATAATGGCAGTGAATGTTTTCTGAGCTCTTAATTTATGCCACGTGCTCTTCATGTGTACGTTCCATTGATCTTGACCGTGTAATCCGTGAAGACGCCTACTGAGGAAGGTACTCCTGGCAGCCGCTTGTTATAGATGAGGAGATAGAAGCAGAGAGGGGCAGACCGACCAGCGACAAGCTGAAATGACTAGGGGGGGTCTTGTTTATTTATTTTTTTAAAGATTTTATTTATTTATTTGACAGAGACACAGTGAGAGAGGGAACACAAGCAGGGGGAGTGGGAGAGGGAGAAGCAGGCTCCCCGCCGAGCAGGGAGCCCGATGCGGGGCTCCATCCCAGGACCCTGGGATCATGACCTGAGCCGAAGGCAGACGCCTAACGACTGAGCCCCCCAGGCGCCCCTTATGTTTTGTTTATGCAGATTGTCCATTCAGTTTCATACTGTACCCATGTCTGCTTTATCTCTATCAAACTTCCTCCCCCAATCTTTCAGTAAATTGATGCATTAGGAAGATAATGCTCTATTTTCCCACCAGCCAGTCCCAGACAGCTATGCACCTGCCTGTTTGAGAAATACACCCTTAAGCGTTCTCAGTAATTTGGCCAATCAGGGAGCAGCTAGCCTTAAATTTGAGAGGGTCTGTGGGCATGGGATGAAGCCTGGCACAGAGGCAGGGCCAAGGTGAGGAGGGGAGGGCGGGGTTGGTGTGCACATGGGGTTTGGTGCTGGACCACTTCATTCCAGAGGTCCTAGTTGAGAACCTGTTAGGACCTTCGCTAGGAGCAGTGGAGGGTACAAAGGTAGGAAACGACTTTCACAGCATGTGTGATCTTGTCTGGGAGGTAATATCCATACAACTGGGCCATAACTTTGCATCATCGCCCAATATGTACTTCAGGTATTGAATATAGCTGGTGTTCAGAGAAGGCAGAGTGTGGTATGTCTAGAGTGGTTGGGAAGGCTTCGTGGAAGAGGTGAGACCAAAAAAAATCCTGGTAGGATAGGTTATTTAGAAGTAGGATAGGGGCACCTGGGTGGCACAGTCTGTTAAAGCTTCCAACTTTTGGTTTCAGCTCAGGTCTTATCTCAGGGTCGTGAGATCGGGCCCTGCATGGGGCTCTGAGCTCAGTGTTGAATCTGCTTGAGTTTCTCTCTCTCCCTTACCCTCTGCCCCTCCACACCCACCCTCGCGCGTGTGCTCTCACATAAATAAATCAACCTTAAAAAAAAAGGGGGGCTCATGGGTGGCTCAGTCCTTAAGCATCTGCCTTTGGCTTGGGTCATGATACCAGGGTCCTGGGATCGAGGCCCGCATCGGGCTCCCTGCTCAGCAGGAAGCCTGCTTCTCCCTCTCCCACTCCCTCTGCTTGTGTTCCCTCTCACTGTGTCTCTCTCAAATAAATAAAATCTTAAAAAAAAAGGACAGAGGAGGGCAGTGTAGGCTAGTGAGTGATTCTACTTTTGATTATTATTAATATTCATATTTAAATTAATTTGTATCCTCTCTCTCAAAGCTCAGTGTTTTCCTAGGTTACTCCTCACAAAATACCCCTAAGAGGACAGGACTTATATATATTATTTGTCAGACCTTTTTTGTTGGTCTGAGTCAAGGATTGCGACCTGCTCGGCCATGGCTGGCAGATCCCAAGTGTGATCCACGCAGAAGCTGTTGGAACGTGCCTGGGTGAGTCATGCACCCTCACTTTGACACACTCCTTGCCACTCCTCCTGTCTTACACCTGACCTGACTCAACATTGACTTCAGGTGCCTTTGTCAGCACTTGAGTTTGCAACTCGGGATATTACGATTTCACTGAGAAAAGGAAAAGGAACTTTAACAAGTTCCCATTAAGTGAAATTCCCTTCAGAGCTTGAGAACCTAGGTTTAAAACCTAATCTGCCCTTTTCCCAAATCTCCTCTTAAATTTTTCTTTCTTTCTTTCTTTTTTTAAAGATTTTATTTATTTATTTTAGAGAGAGAGAGCACAGCAGGTGGAGAGTCAGAGGCAGAGGGAGAAGCAGGCTTCCCGCTGAGCAGGGAGGCCGATGCAGGACTCGATCCCAGGACCCTGGGGCCGTGACCTGAGCCGAAGGCAGACGGCCAACCGGCTGAGCCACCCAGGCACCCCTCCTCTTAGATTTTCTTTTGCCTTTTTACTAAAGGAAGTAACATCTTGTCTTTTTGTTGTAGGCCACTTTTCCCCCTGAATAGTGCGTGGCTGCCTCAGAACGGGAGATTGAAACTTGGAAGCTGGGAGCTGCATGCATATGATGATTTTTAAAGCCTGAAAAGGCCATTTCTGTTGAATTTATATAACTTTTCCCCACTGCATATGAGTAAGGGCCTGGGGGGAAGAAATCAGCCTGAAGGATACTTTGTGTGTAAAGTAGTGAGTGAAAACAGAGGACTAGACATGGAAGCTACCTTTCAACATAAAATTTTCAGTTTGCTTTTGCAAATACTTTATCTTTCTTCTTGGCATTTATTTTGGCCATTTGCTGTGTTTTAGGGTTACTGTTGTTGATAAAAGGCTGCCAAACACTACAATAATTCTTCCTTGTTTTTTGGCTGATGACTTTTTTTCTACATCAAGCTAGTTCTGTGGCCTAGTAAACTCCAAAAGAGCGCCTGTGGTTAGAACTGGGATGGAAGCCCAGGGAACTCCCAGCTCACCACTTAGCTCTGCCTCTCTCTGACTTAAAGACGAGGCCTCTTCTCGGGTCTCCGTTTCTTGGTTCCGGCTTCAAAGGATGAAATGGGCATGAGTCAGTATCTGTGGTGGTTTTGCATGAAAGACTGAGTGTGTGAGATGTTTGTAACTTCCAGGGTAATTAAGAGAGCACAGTAACATTGCTGGTTCCTTCTGACCTCCGGGGGAATGGGCTGGTTCTTCTGAGGTTTCCTGTGGCGAGGATGGGTGCAGGTTGGGCCAAGAAGGTAAGGAGCCGAAGTCATTGGGTTGCCTCTTCCAGCAGTGGGGACTGTAAGAAATAAGCCAGTGACGAGGGGAACTTAGAAAGCAAGTAGCGGAAGGGCCAGAGCATGGGGCTCTCTGCCAGGTGCCTTCATGTGTCGCCTTCCCTCCTCGGCAGGCACTGAGTGACCGCTTCAGCGGTGAGATTCCCGATGACCAGATGGCGCACAGCTCCTTTTTCCCAGATGAATACTTCACCTGCTCCTCCTTGTGCCTCAGCTGTGGGTAAGTGAGGCTGGCCATCTCGGGCAAAGAGACACAGACTTCAGACTTCAGCGTGCGTGCAGGTCCCCTAGGGTCTGGTTAAATTCCAGATTCTGAATTAAGGGTGGGTTGGGGTTTGAGAAGGTGTATTTCCAGCAAGTTCCCAGGTGAATCCTGGTGGTCGGGGGACCACACTTTGAGGTTGTAAGGGATTCTAGGATACATGGCTGTGAAGAGTCCTCTGACGAGTCCGAACTGGTTTAGATGTGAAATTGGCTGGCTTCTGGCTTGGACAGGTTTTTACTACAGAAAACGTTAGGTTGCTTTATTTTTCTACGTTTCTCCTACCAAGGCTTTTCATTGTAGTCATTCCGCTTGCTTAACTCACATTTGCCAGCCTTGTGTGTACAAAGCTCTGTGGTAGTAGGTGTCAGTCCTGGTTGATTCTTTTCACTGTGAGGGCAGACTCTGAGAGCACATTAGAATTCTCCAGGGAGCTTTCAAGGTTATCAAGGCCTCGACCTCACCTCCAAGGATGCTCACTTAACAGAGCTGGGGTGGGGCCCTTCGTGTTGGTGCGTTTGAAAGGGTCCTCACATGATTCTGATGTGTTGAGAACATTGAGTTAGGGCAGTGCTCCTCAAACTGTTATCTGTGTGTGCAGCACCTTGGGGTTTTGTTAGAATGCAAATTCTGCATCAGCGGCCTGGGTGAGATTGTGCATTTCTGACAAGCTCCCGGGTGATGTGGTGCTGCCCCGTCTGTTGACCGCGCTTTGTTACAGGGGTCTTGGCGCCGCGATTCTCACATTTGATCATTCGTCAGAAAAACCCGATGGACATGTTAAAATACGTTGTTGGGCCTTGCCCCCCCAGTTTCCGATTCAGTAGGTCTGATGTAGGGCCTGAGAATTTGCATTTCTGATAAGCTCCCAGGTAATGCTGATGTTGCTGATTGGGGCCACGCTTTGAGGATCCCTGGATTAATTTGAGCTGTTGACGGCTATTAAATCACAGTCTGGTGACTTGTCTGATAGAGCTCAGGGGACTTGAATGCAGTGTGTGGGTGAGATCACAGTCTCTGGGTCCCCACCCTGCCATCCTCTTCACCACTGAATTGTCTTCACACCCGTCAGGACCGCTGCCCCACACCCTCCACGTGTATCCCTCTAGAGGAGGAGACCTGAGCCTTTTGTTGTGAACGGTCTTTCTGCGTTGAGCCCTGTATGCAGGCTACCTGCTGGGCACTGAACTGCCACCACCTTGGCTCTGAATCTGTAAAAAGGATTTGCTTTTAGATTATACGGTCTGGGCTGGGGAGAGCTAAGGATTATGGTGGAGAGGAGAGCGGGATGTCAGTTGCCAGTGTGACTTACCTTCCTTTTTGTTTACCCCATAGCCCAGCATGAGGGGCTTAGGTTCTGTTGGATCATCACTTTTCCATTCTGACAGCCTCACCAGGGTTTCCAGAGCTTTCCCTTCTATCATGGTGAAATTCTAAAGTCCTGTTCTCTTGTTTTTGCGTTGTCAGGATGGCAGAGCTCACTGTTCGTTTGGAAGGTTTTCTTGTTCAGCCTAAGCCTCCTTTTAATGCATTGCCAAATTTTGGAGGTTGGTTTTTGTTTTACATCTTGGCAGCCTGTTCTGGTTAAACTTCCCATTTTGTGCTTTTTTGGATTTTGGGGTTTCCTGAGTGCCATTCAGGTTTTATCTCCTGTCAGGGCGGTGTCTTCGGGCTCCTCCATTCCTTCTGTGGGACTGTCCACGTGGGTTTTCCAGGAAGAGAGTCCTCCCTCTCTTCTTCTTTCTCCGCACACAAGGGTAACAGTGGCCTCACTTCTGTAGTGCTGTTGAGTCTCGTATCAGAGAGGCATGTGGATTTCTGAGACACACACGGCACCCTCTGTGCTCAGGATTTGGGGCCCAGTTCATAACCCTGGGTCCGGCTCAGGGTCCCACTCCCCTGTGTGAGTGCCGGGGCTGCTTTAGCCACCTCACTGTCAGCTTTTGGGCTTCACTCAGGGCTGGATGTAAGAACAGCATGAATCATGGGAAAGAAGGAGTTCCTCATGAAGCCAAGAGCCGCTGCAGATACTCCCACCAGTATGACAACCGAGTTTATACCTGCAAGGTGAGTGCTCTGCTCTGGCAGCTGGCTTGCTGATCCTGCTCTGCTTTTGGGAAAGACTAGGGGACCACCCTTTGCTGCGTCCCGAAGTATTTGATGTTCAAATCCAGTATCTCTGGGACTTCTCCCCAGCTCTAACCAGAGGAACTCCCATGCCTCTGTTGCTGGGGCCCCTTGGTTTATTTATTTATTTACTGATTTATTTCCCAGCCTGTTTTCCCTTACTCTGTTGAGCTTTGTATGCCAGGGGCATATACACTGTTCATTCTTCTCCAGAGCAGGAGTGCTCTGCAGGAACCCAGTCTAATGGATTTTCGGTGGCGGGTGTAAATTACAGCTCCGTTTTGGGGCCTGGGATGGGTACACATTCAGTTCATGATCTTTTAGGGCACTGGCCTTTTTAGAGAAATGACCCTTCCCCTGATGCGCTGAACTCAGGGTCTGCAAACCCTGATACGGTTTGTGGGGAGGGGGCTGGCCAGGGACACGAAGGGGCCAGGGGCTCTGGTGTACAGAAAAGAAGCTGGCAGAGTGCTCCATGTTTCAGGCGTGTTATGAGAGAGGCAAGGAGGTCAGCGTAGTGCCCAAGACATCCGCTTCCACGGACTCCCCCTGGATGGGTCTCGCAAAATATGCCTGGTCTGGGTGAGTTTAAATGGCGACGACGTAGCTGAGGGTTGTCGGTATGTCGGTCTGCCAGGCACCTGGCCCGGTAACAGTATCTCTTCGCTTTGCTTGTAGGTATGTGATCGAATGTCCCAACTGCGGCGTGGTCTACCGTAGCCGGCAGTACTGGTTCGGGAACCAGGATCCTGTGGATACGGTGGTCCGGACAGAGATTGTGCACGTGTGGCCTGGAGTAAGAGCGGCTTCGTTTTTCCCCTTGTATCGTTCAGTTATTTGCATGTGGGGAGAATGGAACTTGGGTAGCAGTAAGGTTCACCTTGAATTTTAATATATTGGTGGTTTAGGGAGGCAGGATCTGGAGAGCCTTCCTTGTCCTAGACCCTTAATTATTTTCATTTCTTCTTGCCTGAATATTAGAAGCACAACTTTAAATAAACTAAATGTTGATCTATTGTTATACTGCCGTAGCACATAAGATATTTTTTCATATTCTCATTTCCACATGCATGTGTGTATAGATGCAGTTATAATTTACGTGCCATTTACCTGCTTTTTCTCAGACCTCCGTTTTATTGCTTCCACTTTTCATGATTCTCCTTTGTAGTCACTGGAACATTCTGTCTCATGTTCTGGTTCGATTCTCCATCCCCTTCTTTTTGAACATTCATGCTGTTTATGATTTTTTTTTTATTATCAAAATGCTATAGTGACATTCTTTATGTGTGAAAGCCTCTGCTCTGGGAAATTCTCTTGCACTGTATTCTAAGAAGGGGGATTTCTGCCGACCCTTATTATTTTTTAATTTGACTTTTGAATTCAAGATATTGGAAAAACAAATCTGTTTGGAGGCAGTGATGTGCTCTCGTTCTTACCAGTAAATCACAACACACCCCAAACCTTGTCTCTTCGCAGAAAAAAGACAAGTGATTTTCTCGAGGGGACTTACCTTACTTGGTGCTGTTCCCCTTGCTGGGTGACTCCTAAAGGTACCGGTCAGCCCCACAGGCCTACCTGCAGAGCCGTCTTGAGCTTTCTGGGGTCCTGTAGCTCCCATAAAACTGAAGATTTCCTTCTTGTTTGTTCTTCTCTCCAGTTTCCAGTCCCACCAAAATGTGTTCCTGTGGTATGGTCTCATTTCAGGAGCCCACCCTCTGGGCACGATGGGCCGGGCCATCCTGTCCCAAACACTTAATGTGGTCTTGACTTTCTCACTACACCTTTTCTGACTAATGTCTTTTGTTTTTGGATCTGTGTTCTTTCTTGTGAATGCCGCTGTCTGCATGGTAAGATCTGTTCCAAGAAAGCAGTGATATCATAGTTCCCTTTCAGGCCATGTTCTTCGTGGTCCTTGGGATTAGGGGATACAGGTCCCTCCCCTTCTGTTCGTTCACTCAGTCATTATTGTCAGCCCAAGTATTGGTTGAGTACTTTGTGCCCAGAATTGAACCTGATACTTTTTAAAAATACAAGAATGAAAAAGGTAGGTTATTTTCAGAGAGCTCAGTCTAATAGTGAGTCAAATACATAAACAGGTACTGTCTTTACGCATGGAAACAGGATTCTTAACAATGTACAGGTATTAGAGGAAGCCAAGAGGAAGGGCTCCTAACCCAGCCTGGGGTGGGGTGGGGGGGCTTCCTGAAGGAGATGCCATCTTTACTCGAATATCTCCTGGATTGCACATCTTGCTAATGGGCAGGTAAGGCCTGAATTGAACAGTTGTGCACCAAGTCCTGTGGTCGCCTTGAGGGAATAAGTCAGTAATGACTGGTTGGGCGTGATACTGCCTAGAAGCCGGAGGCATTCTTGATCTGTTCCCACTCTTCTCTGCCAGGGAGTTTGTGGTTTCTGAGTTGGCCATTGATGAGTCTACAACTCACCTGAGACCCCGTCTCCCTCCTTTGCCTTTACTCCCTTCACTCGGAGCATGATGGGAGCCTGCATTTTCATTTCAGACTGATGGATTTCTGAAGGACAACAATAATGCTGCCCAGCGCCTCTTGGACGGGATGAACTTCATGGCTCAGTCAGTGTCTGAGCTTAGCCTTGGGCCCACCAAGGCTGTGACTTCCTGGCTGACAGACCAGATTGCTCCTGCGTACTGGAGGCCCAACTCCCAGATCCTGGTATGGTGCGGCAAGACGCCCCTGCATCCCTGGCGTGGCCCCTTCTGCTGGTGCCATTTTGCCCTGTCCTAAGCTTGCTCTGTGAGGGAGGCATGGGATTTCTCTTTCAGTTAGGTTCATTCCCAGAGTGTTAGAAAGGGTGAGGCACGTGAGGCAGCCATGTTCTCTTGCCCATTGATTTCTCTTTGTCTTACTCTGTGGTTACTCTTTTTGGTGGATTATAGTTTCTTTGCCTCCAAGGGCTAGTTCTTATTGGTCAGATGTCTGAGGTGGTAGATAACAGAATCTGGAGGAAAAGGGGCATTTAGAGGTCATGTGGCTTGATGCATAAATCTCTGCCCATAGCAAGGGAGCCCCCAGCTTTGGCCCACACACTTTGGGACAGGAAGCTTGCTCCTCACCCCCTTCCCAAAGGCTCTTTTGAGAAGCCGTGGGAAAAAAAATGAATTCTCATAGGTTTTTTTTTTTTTTCCTCATTGGTCTTCTTGCTAGACTTAGCAGAGTCCTTTCTGAGGACGCTGTGACTCAGCCAGGTAGATTTGAGGTGGCTTTCTAGGCATGTTTCAGAGGAGAAAATGGGTCACAGCTGGGCCTCAGTGGGTGTGCTCTGTGTGACTGGAGGTCCCAGGTTCTCTCCATTACTGCTGTCGGGGTCCTGCCGTTCTCAGTGGTCCTGGGGTCCTCTGCCTGGGTCTCGCTGGCTTTCTCGGCTGGTAGAAACGAATAATATCTGCCCCTCTGTTTGTTTTGGGCTTGGAACAGAGCTGCAACAAGTGCGCTACATCCTTTAAAGATAACGACACCAAGCATCACTGCCGGGCCTGCGGGGAGGGCTTCTGTGACAGCTGTTCGTCCAAGACCCGGCCTGTGCCAGAGCGGGGCTGGGGCCCTGCGCCTGTGCGGGTGTGTGACAACTGCTATGAAGCCAGGAATGTCCAGTTAGGTAACGTGGGGCCCAGGAGCTGCAGGGGTGGGGGGGCCCTCTGTCCTTGGCACAGTGGACTCCCACATGCCTCACCCTGTTCCAACCCCATCACTCTAACGATGGCAGCTGCCTGCCTGGCCCTGGCCAGCGTCCTCTAAACTCTTTGTTAACAGAGTCCTAGGGGTGCGAGTCCTGGGGGTGGGGGGTTCACCCTGTCCTATGTTTACCAGACATGGCTTAGACTGGGTCTTCTTCCTGGAGAAGGTTCTTGGTCATGCTCCTAGAACCTTTCTGGCTTACCCTGAAAGGAAGGTTATAAAACAGCTCCAGAGGGTTGAGGCCAAGGACTACCAGAGCTCACTTGGTGTCAGGGTCTGACCTGCCTCCCAGCCCAGACCCTTGTGGTCATTGCAGGGCAGGAAGCACAGTGGTATCCCAGGAGAAGAATCGAGAAGCGCTCTGCGGTTGCCCCCTGAGTTTTCCACTGGGGAAATGACTAAGGTGATGGCTTTTCCTTTCTCGCTGTCTACAGACGTGACTGAGGCACAGGCTGACGATGAAGGCGGGACACTGATTGCACGGAAGGTGGGCGAGGCCGTGCAGAGCACTTTGGGAGCCGTGGTGACAGCCATTGACATACCACTAGGTGGGTGTAGTGTATGTGGGATGAGGGGTTTCAGAGTGCCCCGGGCTGTCACTGTGTCAGGGGCTTGCTGACCTAGATTGAGCTGGGCAGCAAGGCGTTGACTGAAAATTTGTTTGCTTGGTTCTGAACCTTAGTGGTTTTGTGTTTAATCCTGGAGGCCATCTCTTACACCATCCATTGCTGCATAACAAACTACCTGAAAATGTAAAGACTTGAAACAACCATTTTTTTTTCCTTTAAAATTTTTATTTATTTATTTAACAGAGATAGAGAAAGAGCACAAGTACGCAGAGTGGCAGGCAGAGGGAGAGGGAGAAGCAGGCTCTCTGCTGAGCAGGGAGCCCAACGTGGGACTCGATCCCAGGACCCTGGGATCATGTTCTGAGCCGAAGGCAGCCAGTTAGCTGACTGAGCCACCCGGGCGTCCCTGCCACCATTTTTTTTTAAAATAATTTATTTGACAGAGAGAGACACAGCGAGAGAGGGAACACAAGCAGGGGAAGTGGGAGGGGAAAGCAGGCTTCCCGCGAAGCAGGGAGCCCGATGCGGGGCCTGGTCCCAGGACCCTGGGATCATGACCTGAGCCGAAGGCCAGACGCTTAATGACTGAGCCTCCCAGGTGCCATGAAACAACTGCCATTTTATCACGTCTCACAACTTTGAGTCAGGAAGGGTAATTATTCCGGTCTAGGTGGCATTGCCGGGAGTTACCACCTGATACTCCAATATGGCAGCCTGACCTGTCCTGAGGGGCCAAGCCAACCTGGCTTACATGCTGGGCACTTTGGCAGGGCTGCCTGGAAGGCTGGGCTTGGTAGACCCCATCTCCGTGTGTTCTCCAGGCCTCTCTACATGGTTTCTCCAGGGGTCGTTGGACTTCTTACGTGGGGGCTCAGGACTCTTGCCAATATCCCAAGAGATAGGAGGTAGAAGCCACCAGTGTCTTGAAGGTCTGGGCCTGGAAGTGGTACCTCGGCCATAGACTCCTGTAGTCACAAAGCCTGCCTGGATTTGAGGGAGGGGGGCAGGAGTGTCAGAGTGTTTGTGGCTGTCTTTAATCGACCACACCAGCCAAGCCAAGCTGTTACTCATTAAGGATTTAAGATCCTTACCTCCAGTTGTGAGGGGTACTTGTAACTAGGAGGATCAGAGGGAGGGGAAGGGAAACCCTCCAGTGTGTGTGTGGAAGGCTTAGGCACGGTTGGCTGGGCCTGGGGTGTTTCTGCCCATTGCAAGGGAGCGACTGAAGGCTCCTGGGTGGGTGGTGGTGGAAATCACTTGGATCTGATTTACCGTCCTTGTGGCTCAGAGGTGAGCAGATGATGAGCTTTTGACTCAAGGAATAGATTTGGTAGGAATAGATTTGCCCAGGCTTGAAGCTCAGGTTGCATCTGCTCTCAGGGCTGCCTGGGAGAAGTGGGGCTGCCCTCAGCACAGAGAGCCTGCCACCTCTGCTCACCAACGGCTCACCTGCGCAGTGCTCACTGGCTGTTGGGTCCCAGGTCAGTGTGTCAGACATGTCACGTTATTTCTTGTAATCCCTGTAACTGCTCTTGAATGGGGGTTGTTGAAGAGGAGGAAGCCAAGGCCCTGAGAAGTTAGGTAACCTCTCTCGATCCTGCAGCCACTAATTAGCACGTGCTCAGTGGAACAGGGATTTGAATGAAGAGATATCCTGACTCCCAGAGGCTGGGCTTCTTTATCATTATTCCAGTGGTTCTTTTTTAATTTTTATTTTTTTTAAAGATTTTATTTATTTGAGAGAGAGAGAATGAGAGCACGAGAGGGAAGAGGGTCAGAGGGAGAAGCAGACTCCCTGCTGAGCTGGGAGCCCGACGTGGGACTCGATCCCGGGACTCCAGGATCATGACCTGAGCCGAAGGCAGTCGCTTAACCAACTGAGCCACCTAGGCGCCCAGTGGTTCTTTTTTTTTAAAGATTTTATTTATTTATGTGTGAGAGAGAGAGAGAGCAAGCACAAGCAAGGGGAGAGGCAGAGGGAGAGAGGGAGAAGCAGACCTTCCGCAGAGCAGGGAGCTTGGATCCCAGATCCCGGGATCATGACGTGAGCCGAAGGCAGATGCGTAATGACTGAGCCACCCAGGTGGCCGGCCCCAGTGGTGCCTAATGCAGCTGCGCTTCAGGATCACCTTTGAGCTCAGTAGATACGCAGATCTCAAGGCCTGGGCCGCAGCTACAGATCTTCTGACCTGCATGGTGTGGGGCGCAGGCCAGGGCTATGGGTGTTTTAAAAGCCCTGTAGGTGAAGCGCGCCGGCGTGGCTCTGTAGGCGGGCGCGTGGGCCGTAGTTGGGTAGTCTCTTGGGGAAGAGTCTGACGGTGCCCTCTTGCCCGGGGGGCCTCGGTGTTGTCTCGCCGCAGGGCTGGTGAAGGACGCGGCCAGGCCGGCGTACTGGGTGCCTGACCACGAGATCCTGCACTGCCACAGCTGCCGGAAGGAGTTCAGCATCAAGCTTTCCAAGCACCACTGCCGGGCCTGCGGACAGGGCTTCTGTGACGAGTGCTCCCACGACCGCCGGGCTGTCCCCTCGCGAGGCTGGGACCATCCTGTCCGAGTCTGCTTTAACTGCAATAAAAAGCCCGGTGACCTTTAACCCCAGCTCCCTCTCCGCGTCCTTCACAATTCCTTAGGTTCTCAGGGTTAGAAACAGAAGTCTCATTGAGGTCGGCCCTCCTCCTGGGCACCTGTCACGGTGTGTGTCCTCTACTCCCGGGGCCACTTTCCTGGCGGGGGGAGGCGGTTTGCAGGTGGCCAGCTGGGGCGAGCCTGGCGGCCGGCCCGAAGGTGTGAACCCCTCAGCGCAGGGGTCCAGGCAGCTTCCCGCAAAGGGGAATGAACCTGAATCCGTTGCGTTTATTTCAGTTAAAAATAATAAAGATAAAAATATACATGTAGATACATCTGAAGGGAACGTGGAGCATATTCAGGCTGCTGCTGGCTCTGAAGACTTAGCAAAGTCTGTCCCCAGCATGGGGACAGGGTGGCCGCGGCCGCAGGTCTTCCCCACAGAACAGAGCCAGGTACAGAGCCACTGTGTCGCTAGTCACCTTTTGCTTCTTCTCTGTCAGCCTTTGAAGCCTCTCCTTTCCTTGCCTTTTCCCAGGTACCTCTTGCTTCGAATGGCCTGAAAGGAATCTCCGGGGGCCCCCTGGGGTTGGATCCCTACTCTAGGCCTCGGCCGATGTCAGTCATCAGAGACTACCCAACTTAGTGTGCAGGTCACCGGCGTGGGTGGAGGGTAAGGGGTAGGGTCCTTGGCCCCGAGTACTGGGGAGAGCACGGGAGGAAATGGGCCTTCCCCAGCGGGGTTTCCTACTTCGTGATGCTTCTTTGTCCGCTTGGCTTTCCCAGAGGCTGCACCCTGCTCCTAAATAGAGCACCTGCTTCCTTCTCCTCCACCCCTGCGAGCCCACCATCTGCTTCTGAGTGTTGCACTAGGATTTTTATTGCTTATTTTGAAGTGTCTTAATTCTTTGTACCCTGATACATGCCCCCTCTGGCTATTGGAGGGGTGATACGAGAATCTTCCAGGGAAACAGTGCACCGAATGGACTGTTAGTTGTTTTAAATATATATAAATATTTCAACGGATCATTAAGAAAAAAATTCTCTCTGGTTCTTGCAAGAGAAGTCAAGTGAACTTTTGTTTCTCACCAAGAGCCAGGACATCCATCTCTCGTGACTGGAAAGAGACTGTTGTGCTGAAACCCTGTCATCGGGGCGGATTTTATCTTCAGTGGCCAAACACGAAGAATGAAGTGTGACCTAGTTCTTGACAGAGCTGGTGGGTGGGCTGAGCTTCAGGGAGGGACGTGGCAGGCAGTCCCGGCATGAGTCAGTGTGACGGGAGCCCTGGCACGTGCTGGGCCTCGTCAGACCTGCGTCCTATGGCCTCCTGTGGCCCAGTGACTCAGGCCCTACTCTCGGACTGTGTATTCTCCCATTCGCCATTATAAACGAATCTTCCTGCTGAACACGGACTGTGCTCTTTCCTTTAACCTCCTCAATAGAGCGGGCCTCTTTCTAGTCGATAGGAAAGCAGCTGGTGGCTTTCAGAGCAGAAGCCAAGTGAGAGGCACGCTTCTGGGGTAATATTTGACTTTTAATACCTATTACTCTAGTAAGAACTTAGAAAAAAGCAGAGCTAAATACCACAAAACTGTGATAGGGGTTTTCATCTCACGATGGGCTGTTTTCCCTCAGCTTTTAGACAGATCGCCGCCTCCAGCTGTTTGCTAACAGGGAACTTGGTGGCTTTTCCTTTAGAGAGGGTACTAACGGACGCTCACAGAACTTTCTGGTGCTGAGGGCTCCACGCGTGCTCCCTGGCCATGCCACGGTCCTGCACTTGGGCTGTTCGTCAGAGCTTTCCCCAGCGGGTGGCCACTGGCCGTGGGGTTGGGGAGCCACGTCAGCCCGGCCCCGAGTAGGGCCACCTGTGTCAGACGCAGCGGGGGCCACTGCCTGGTGACTTGTGTGCTCGGTTTCAGTCGGGTAGCTGTGGGGCCTCAGTCCACGGGGCGTCCTCTCTCAAGGAAGAGTCTAGATGATGCTACTGACCTAGGGAAACGCTAGAGAACACTTTTCTACCTTTTCATCTGTCGCTTCCCTCATTCCCTTGCCCTGCCTTCTCTGTTCACCTCCCGTGTCCGTCCTCCACGGTCTCCTCCTCCTCCTCGTGGGCACGGACACTCTTGTCTTTGTCCTTACCCTTACCCTTGACTTTCCCTGTCCTGCTCCCATCCCTTTCATCCTTACCCCTGCTTTTTGGGTGAGTGGAGCAGAGGGGTGTATGGTGGTGGCCCTTTGTCCCGTTGTCTTGCGGGGGCGGCCCTGAGCACGCGTCTGCCAGGCCACACAGGAAGGATGCAGAACAGTCTTCTGCACGCCCTTCCTTACGCTGGTCAGACCAAGAGAGTAAAGGAAGAGAACCGACCCAGTGCTGACGTAATAGAAGGTTCGCTTTTCTTGTCCTATACCTCCAATCCCAGCCTCAACTGAAGGGCTGAAAACCAGCTAAACTCAGGATGCAAATGGCTTAAACTATTAAACTATCGTAATACAAATTTCCACTTGATAAATCTTCTGAACCCGAACATAAAATGAACCAGCAGGACAAGACCGCAAGCCCAGACGCTGCCCACCCGCTGCCCACCCGGGGAGCCCACTATCCTGACACCTAATAGTGCAGATTAGGCCCCCACCCTTTGGGGGTGGCTGCATAAAGGCTTTAATAAATTTCTAGTTTGGGGCGCCTGGCTGGCTCATTCGGAAGAGTATGCAACTCTTGATCTCAGGGTCGCGAGTTTGAGCCCCATGTTGGGCAGAGATTACTTAAAAACAAATTTCCAGTTTGAAAGACTTGCTCCGAGGTGGGGATCACCGGTGAAGCGCTTGGAGAGCTGGGATGGAAGGCTTCGGCTGTGGCTGAGAACCACGCGGTCTCCTGAGCAACGGGACCCAGGGGTACCCTTCCACATCTGTTGGGTTTCGCTCTGCTGGTTTGACTTCCCAATACACGGGTGCCAGTTAACGCCAGGGACTGTGCTGGGACTAAATATGGTTGATATTCTCAACAACCATACTGGAAGGGAGGGAGTGGTGTTCGTGTTTTATAGCTGAAGACAGTGGCTCAAAGAGTCTGGAAACCCAGCGTCGCTTGGCCAGTGAGACTTGAAGCTGGGGTTTGATTCCAGGCGGGCCTGAAAAGCCTCAGTGCCTTCTGCGCTCCACCGTCCTGTGTCCCCTGCCCAGGTAGAGCTTAAATTTCCTTCCTCCTCCTTGGGTTGTGAAGTCTGCATTTTCAGATAAGAGAAAAAGGTACCTGCTATATTGTATCAGGAGGACTTAGCTTTACATCTGCTCGTCATGGTAAAGGAAAGCACTACTTCCCTTTCATAAAACATCACACACACTGGCTTACAGATTAAGCAAGTTGACCTGGCTTGTACCATTGGAGCTCAGCTTCTGGTTGTAAAAAAATGGTAATTTTCCCCACCATATTTGCGTTTTCAATTTCAGAATTTCCATCAACCAGGGGGGAGAAAACTGAACCCATGATGGCAGCCCGTAACTCTTACCACCGATGGGGTTCGTTTTAGAATCTTGAGTTCTGCCTTCTGTTAAATTACACCTGGTGCAACTTTTTCCTTTTTTTTGTACCTGGGACACTCAGACTCGTGAGCACTGAAGCACAGATGGTACGGGGTATATGGAGTTAGAGAAGGTAATTTAGGGATATGCTCGTATGACCGACGCCATCTTTGGAACTGCCACTTATAGACCACAGCATGTCTTTCTGGGTCTGGTGGAATTTGGCTGAGTCCACCAGCCCATAATGCCAGTACTGGGTGACTTCATCCACTGCTGTGGTTTCAGCTGCCACCTTATCCTTAACTCCAGCCTGAATCACTCTCGAGGCTCTGGCTCCTCCAGCCCTAGACATCTCGCTTCCATTTCCCAGACACCATGTCACCTCAGTTTAGGCAGCCCTGGGCTATCGGCAGCATTTATATCTGGGTGCCTTTGCTCGGATTGTGGCTTCTGCAGAGAAAGTTCTTTTTGCTATAGCTGCTCTTAATTCAGATGAAGCCAAGAGTGCAAGCGGGTGGGGGGCAGGAACAAACCAGGAGATGGAACAGAGGCCAACCAGTCCAGAGGTCACTTGTGGGGGACAGAGATGGCTGGTCTTGAGGAAAGAGGACAGAAGGGAGAATTGGGTTGAACTGAACCCAGACCTTAAACTTCCAGGGTTAAATAAAAAGTCCCATTCCGTCAAGCCCAAGGGGCCTAATTTAAGATCTCAGAGTTGAGCGGGAGACGCTTCTGGCTCTTCCACTTATTAGAAGACCTGGGCCAGTCACTTTGTTTTTTTTTTCTTCAGTACATTGGAGCGACTGTCACCTACTTCACAGGATTGTAATGAAAAGGCGATGATGCTGGCAAAGCTAAGCTTTCTGGAGGTTTCTGAGACTTAACAGTGGGACTTTGACAGATGGAAAGGAGGGGAGTCCGGCTTGCTCAGAGGCCCAGGTGAGGGAGAATCTTGAAACATTTGTGTCCTGAGACCAGGCAGGAGGTGGAGATGGGGCAAAAGGGGCAAGGCGCACCTGACCCCATCTCGAGGCCACACATTCTGAGGCACAAGAAGCCACTGAACGCAGGGACCCAGGAAGATCGCTCCCGTGGCAGGGGCCACGCAGTGGGTAGCCTGGAGAGTCAGACAGGAAAGGGCCCAGATGCAGCAGCCTGCGCAGAATGAAGGGGAGACTGAGTTTGGCCTGCAGTTATTTTCAGAGATGGTTGTGGAAAATTTCGGCCAGGACAGAGCTAGGGCTAACAGATAAGTGGGGCTAACTTGGTCTCAAAGGACACTTCTGGGGACCCGTCGGGGGACACCAAGGAGGCTGTCCGCCCTCCCGAGCACGTTAGGCTGGCTGAATTCTAAGGTGGCTACACAGCAGGATGGTGTGAAGCAAGGGTTTATCCTGTGGGCATCTGTGACCCCCACCGCTAAGCAGAGCCGCCGTGCTCTCAGCCGCTCACAAGGCGACACACCAGCAAGCACCATGTATCATCACAGCGTGCTGCTGCGTCCCGTCGCCTGGTCCTCTCCACCTCTTGTCACCGGGGAACAGGGCAAAATGCCCTGACACATGTGCAGGTGAAGAGAAAAAAAAATACTTCATCCAGACTGTGGGACATTATGTTAACAGGCAAACAGACCATAATATGTTTAATTTCTTAGCTAAGTTTGACTTTTCATACAACCTATACCAGATGTTAGAAGTGACTGCTAACCAGAGATCAAGAACAAATTTGCTAAGTGTAGAATTTTTAAAGAACCACTCCCTCCCTTCTTTTTAAAAAGCCTAGGGGAAATCGAAAACGATTCTTTGACAACTGTGTCTGCCTAACAAGGAACTTGGGCCAGGACACAGGTGTTGTTTAGAAGGTGTATGGGGACAGGGCCATCATGTCAGAACTCACTGCTATTCTCCTGAGTAGTCCTGTTGTCTCCACTGCTTGGGGAGGGATCAGAGTTGGACAGGGTAGCCACCCATGGGCTCTCAGCTCCATAGAAACAATACAGAACTGTGGGGGAAACTGCGTTAGATGGCCAGTACCAGCAATTTTAAATTGCAGGTCCTGTAATGAACTTATATATTGTGATAACCTAGAACTTGTGGGGACAAAAGTGAGTGTTCATGGCTCAGCAGTTCTGCTTGTGTGTTGGGCAGGGACACACCACCAAAGTTGATCCAAGACTCTGCAGTGACAGTGGCCACCTGGACCCTTCAGTTATGTAGGTGTTTCCTGAGACCTCTGTGCAGGTCAGTATGCCAGGGTTGCAGATATACAGGGGCCAAATCTAAATGACTAAACACCTACGAATCTTACCACTGCTGAGGACCAGAAAAGTGCATTTACCTGGTGATTTCAAGATCATGGGCTGTTAGCGCTGCACACCTGCACTGGCACCAGGCCACTTCCTGATTTCTCCACAGCACTTGCCGTGATAACATGAGTGTCGTCAGCGACTGGAGGAGCCTGAGCAGCAGGGAACGTGGTCTCAAGTCTCTCTGCTGAACAGGCCTGAGATCTGAGCAAGTCAGTGTCTCTGTGCCCAGATTTCCCCACCTGTAAAGGGATGCTAATAATTTTTACATTATTCCAGCTGTGCCACCTTTATGGGTTGTTAGAAGGATCAAGTAAGATGGGAGAAAGTTCTTTATAAAATGTGAGGCACTAAAAATATTTGCTATTAACATGTAGCTCATCTATCAGATGACCAATCTGATGGTCTCATTATTTTTGTTTTTGGATTTGGTTCTCGTACTAGGGTTCTGGCAGGAAACAGAATTAACTACCACTCAAGGGAGTAACTGAAGAGTTTAACTGGCAAAGTTCCTGGGCTAACAACAGTGAGGTGCAGTTACTAGGAGATCTGAAGGGACGAATGGAGAAGCTGCTGGAACCCAGAGAGTGCGCTGTTCCAACAGGGGCTGCGGCCTTGGGTGGAGGGACACAGCCACAGCCCCCCACAGCCCAGCCAGAGGGGGACCCCGGAGCTCACCGTTGTAGTCCCTACAGGTCAGCTTCTTCGGGCGTGCACAGAGCAGGCGGGAAAGGGCACGGCGGATCTGGAGGGCCAGGTGAAAGCTCTCTAGCGAAGCCATTAAAGCCGGTCTGTCTATACCCCGTACCCACGATCTGAGTAGATGTTACTGCAGCTGGTTCGTTGCTATAGCGGACAAGCATCAATCATGATCTTCTAAATCATTAACAGAAGCGACAAAACATGCATGGTTCTTTCTAGTTTATTGTTTGGTGGAAAGACAGGTTCTTGAACGCTGTATAAACATCTCACAAAGTGCTTCTAGATTACAAAAAGTCAAAGCCAATTTTCTTTGAGATGGGGCCCTTAAATCTGACATTCAAGTCACCATAATAGAAACAGGAGCTGTTATACCTAACATTCTGGAAGGCACCTCAACAAAGGCCTGCTAGGACCTGTTTAAAACCTCTAGCATCTAGAAAGATCCATCTTTCCTTTCAATGCCTATGAATGGTGGTAAAAGGAGAAAGCGAGGTCTGCTATGGATGCTGAATGAGTCTGAGAAGGCTTTTTAATGACTCCAAAATCCAGCCTTCAATCTCTAATCTCTAGAGACTCAGAGAAATGACCCCCTCTCCCCCCGTGCCTTCTCCGTCTCCCCAGCTGGCTTTCTCCAGCCCACGGGCACAGCTTTCTGGGACCCAGGCACTGACTGCACTAACAGCCTCACCCAATCTCATTAAGCTTCTTAAAAGGGCTTTTGGTGAAAGAAGCAGCTTTAATTTAGTTACTGCCAATCCTCAGCCCTTAGAAAAGTATTTCTTGTTTCAAAAAAAAAAAAAGGGGAGGGGGGCCACAGACTATTCTAAGGAATTTAACAAGGAAATAAGTACCTTTTATGAAAAGGACTTTTGAGCTCTCTGAGCTCACAACTGAAAGAACTTTACTGAAGTGTCTCCACATAAAACAGCACCTACTTCCCGGCAGCTGGATGGATGGGATCTGTGTACAGAGCATCCATTTAAAATGCCCTCAGTGGAAACAGCAGTTGTGGCAGAAGTCTGGCTGCTCCTTACTCCCGTACGTCAAATCCACATCCCTCCAGGCTGTACCCTGTGGAATTAGGTGTAGGAGAAACAGTAAAGGTCCTGCTGGACGGCCATAAGCAGCCCTGGGGCTCCCCGGAAACCCCCAAGCCGAGAAGAGAAGGCCACACTGGGGATGTCAGCCTTGGAGGTGGGGTGTGGGGAGGGTATGGTTCTGAGCAGGCAGGCGTCATGGAAGCTCCAGATTCTTGTGTAGCAGTCCTGGCCCACTAAGAAAGAGGGAAGACACATGGCACATTAGAACACACAGGAGCACTTGTATACATGTGGACACGGCTTCTCATGATTCCTAAGGGACTCCACTGGAGCCAGAACACAAACTCAAATGGAAGTTATTTCTGCTGATAATATGTACCTCTTGAAAATCAAAGTCACAGGTCTCCCTGGTGCTCCAGAATCACAACTAGTCGCAGGTACTCCAAGTGACAAGATGCACTGGCTGGTGTCCCCAGGCATCCTGGCGAACAGGTGGCCACTCTGCTTCTCTTATGCCAAGGGCTGCTCAAGGGAGAGCCCAGCCCCCTGGTCTAGATGACACGCAACTGATTTCCTTTTTGTGAGAGAGTAACCAGGAAGATCTCTTCCCTTCAGTATATCCTGGGGACACACCAGGTGACAACTCTCACCAGAGCTGTTTCTGGTTTAATGGCTCAGTTTCTAAGACCAGGTAAGTCTCTGGGGCTCATAGCTGTGAGGAATGTGGCACCGAACAAGCACCGGCTGCAGCAGCCCAGATAGGCTACTGGAGTCTTCAGAGGAAAGGAGGGCAGATCTCAGGGTCTCTCGGACTTCACTTCACTCCCTCAGCTGTGATGGCTCAGGCTGCCCAGCACATCGAGGACTGCACTAGCCCACCACCATGTCTGCCTCTCAACGGGCTCCTCTCTTTCCTGCTACCTAGAGCACAGCAGCTCTTCTGAGGTGGAAACTAGGCTTAAACAGGAAGCTAAACAGCCTGAGAAAGTGCTTACAAAGTGATGCTTCTTTGGCACAAAAGAAGATTCACAGAGAACAAGCACATTCTGGAGGCACAGCTGCAAATCCGAGGACATGTCAAGACCAAGAACATATTCCTTGATGTCAAGGGCTATTTCATGTGTCAAACCACTGAACTTCCATGCTATCAGAATATTCTGTTGCCCCAGAAACAGCAAACTCTGCAATCAACTTGTAGCCCTTTTCAAGGGAGCTGAGTGGCTCAACGGCCCTGCCCCTATCCTGCAGATAGGGATCCCCAGGGATGGTGTTAAGGGGACCAGGAACCAGGTCCATTACATTTACCTTAATTTCTTTTCTCAACATCCAAGGCTGGAAAGTGAGCACGAAGTGCAGGGAGCCTAAGCTTTTAAACAGGATGGGATAAAGGTCACACTGAATGCTGACCGGGTGGACACCCAAGTCTCTCAATGTTTTATTGCATGTAATTTGCCTGTTACTGAGGTGATGTTCTCCCACTAACGTGAGGACAAAGCGCTGTCCCAACTGGCGGCCGTTTGACTGCTCCTTACTAATGTGCTGTTTTATGTCCCATCTAGTGTCTCTGACCAGCAGCCCCCAGTCCCACGTACGAGGTTCTGATCTGTAGTAACTTCTCCCTCTGCCATTTTATTTGATGGGACAGAAGGAGCCCCCTTCCCCAGGTACCTGCCACCACAATTCCTTCTCCCTCGTGCACGTGCAGGGGCAGGTAGGCGTACTCATTCACATGACCTTCATACTGCCTTATACACTTGGTGGTCCTCAGGTCCCACAGCTTGATCTGTGGAAAGCACAAGGGGCCATTAGAGAGGGTCCGGCAGGTACCCTAGTGAACCCAGGCAGGGCAAGGTGGTCTCCAAACACCTCTTAGGGTGAGGAAAGTCTAAATTTCAAAAGCACCAAAACCAGTTTCATGTCAGTCTACACCAGGCTGGGCTCCCAGGTGGAGAAAGCAACTGCCCTACACATAGCCCACAGCTCGTCTCCAGCTGCCCTTCCCCCGCTGTCTGGCACAGGCTCTCTCTCTCAAAAGATTTGATTTTAAAGTAATCTCTACACCCAACATGGGGCTCGAACTCATGACCCTGAGGTCAAGAGTCACACACTCGTCTGAATAAGCCAGCCACGTGCCCCACCACGAGGGTCTTTGCTGAAGAGCCCTTCACCTGGCAAAGCTCTAGACCAGTGGCTCCAGTGGCCCGAGTCATCAGTGCTACCCCTACCGTTCCCGCCATGTCGGACGCCATCAGGTTTTGCTCTTCTTGGAGGATTTGCACAGAGGTCACTGCTGAGTCGTGGAAAAGGCGGGTGGCCTTCCAGCCCTTGCCCTGATTTCGACAACGCAGATCTATGGCAAAGATCTCCCCAGAACGACAGCCATTAAACAGCAAAGGAGCCTATGGAAAGAGAATGGTTGGTACCACCTCCTCTAAAGCTGAGAGGGGTGCGCCCTCCAGAATACAACTCCTGCCTCGCCTCCCCTCTCCCAGCCCCTGGGTTAGCGGTGTGGGCGATGGTGTGGTCAGGGTTTGAGCCTCAGTACAGCTGGAAGGGTTCCTTATGAAAGGGTAAAAGAACTGGACCCCAGGTGTCTTCCAGTGTCCTCCCCACTGGCTGCATTGGCCCCTTAAGCCTCACTCTGTGAAGCTCAAGTGATGGTGCCTTATCTCCACGAAGATCCTTTGTGAGAAGCCAGGGGGAGGAATATGGGGTAGGAGAGATCAGAGATCCAGGTAAGGCCTGCAGTCCCAAACAGAGGGCAGACAGCTGAAGAAGCCTGAAAAACATGCTCTGTGCTTACTGCAGAAAGCAGGTCAGCACACTCTCCTCCACACTTAAAGAAAGATGGCATTTTCAGTGAGCAAGTCTCTGAAATGTAGTATTGTCTAGAAGTAGGATTTTTTAAATTTATAAAATACATAACTTGAAAACTGTATGAACCTATTAAGTATGATGAATTGGGACTTAATTTATACATTAAAAAAATTACTTGTCCTGCGGGCTAGTCCAAGTACTCAAGAATTGCTAACAATTCATTTAAATAGGAAGCTGTTTAAAGCCAATTTAGCCAGGCCTTTCTGAATCAGCCAACTTTCATCCAGTGCAAATATAATCACCAAGTAACCCGCTAATCCCTTCTGATGCCTTTTTTTTCCCCTGAAAAAGCGAGACGACCAGATGCCACCCAGAGGGATCCAGTTTCAATCCAGCAAAATTTCCACCCTTGGGAAACTTTACATTGCTCTCCTCCCCCAATCCAACCAACCATGAGAGCAAACTGCTGGGCCAAGACATCACTGCTGGTCCCAAAGGACTGCCGGTGTCCTGTCACCACGTTGGTCACTAGGACCCGCCGAGATAAGCCTGACAGAGACAGAGGGGGCAGAGAAATAAGCATCACTCACAGTCTGGACAGGGGTTTGAAGCCTGTGAACGTCTTTCCTCTGGGGACCCGTGGGGGCAGCTGCGGCTCACCTGTGCTGAAGCAGTTATTCGCCTGAATGTTGAGGGACCACGCACAGGACCAGGCCCCAGGGATCCGGAAACTGCAGAGCATGCCAGGCCGGTCTCCTGCTGAGGGCAACAGTGAATATAAAAGGTGGCTGCCCTTGAGGGACCTTCCCTCTGTGCTGCCAGGCCAGTGACCGCCCGATCTGGGAAACCTCCAGGAATGGTTGTTCAGAGATCTATACCTTGGCTCCATTCTGGCTTTTATGGGAACAAAAAAGACACTCAGCTGGGGTACCTGGCTCAAAAGGGGCTATTCTGAGAAGGAGCACATGAATCTTTCCTGACTTCGCAGTAGTGTTAGAACTAACTGCTGTCAGGTAGGCAGTGTGGCATCTTTACAAGAGGGTTCCAATCCCACATCACACTATTTGATGGGTGATCTCAAGCAAAACACTTTTAAAATAAGCCTTTTAATAATCCATAGAGGGCACACACCCCAAATAGAGAGTGCAACGAGTGATCATAAAGTAAATGTAACCACATGACCACCACTCAGGTTAAGAAGCAAAACATTCCAGAACCCTGATACCCCTCCCCGTTACGACCTTCCCACTCTTCCTGAGAGGGAACCACTGTCCTGGTCAGTTTTGTAAGGCAGGCTCTGAACCTCTTTGCCTCAGCTTCCTCATCTGTAAAAACGGTGGTAACACACACTCCTGCCACACAGACCTGCCTCACGATGAAAGGTCAGGCAGCAGGCTGAGTGTGCATTACCTCATTTAATCCTCCCTGTAACCCGATGGGGTGGGTGTTCTCTTCACAGAAGGTAAGCAACCTGTTCACGTTGGTAAGGGGCAGAGCCAGGATTCGTGCCAGGTCTGCCTGAAGGCCTGCACTCTTAGAGCCTTGACCCTTGTCTAATGGGTCCCTAAGTCTCTGAAAGACTGAAAACTTAATACTCAGAGTGCCGCCTGGAAGGAGAAGTCCGGCTGCCTTCAGGCACACAGATCGCAAGCAATGCCAGCAGCAGATGCCAGGCTTTTCTGCACCATCTGTACGGGCAGCCCAAATAAATATTTTAATCTCTTGTACTTTTAACTGTTCTGGCTGCTGAAATGACCCCGAAGGAAGGGTATGTACGGACGTGCGCACTTGCAGTCCGAATCCTGGGTCAGGGTGCAGGCATTCTCCAAGTGCTTCTGCAGGCTGACTTGGGCTCACGCAGCCCGTGCCTCCCACCCCTCCTGTCCAAGCCTTGGCCATGGAATTTACACTGTCATGGGCTGCAGCTTCTGGAGGCAGGGACCGAGACCTCCCTCAGAGCACCTCCTCCTCCGAAGGGAAAGGACCTGGTACCTGGATGACTACTGACGAACAGTGATGCTGGGAGCAGGGTGGCGCAGCCCGGAGTCTCTGCGATGCCCATGAGACAGAGCCTGCAAAAGCTGTTAAGGATAGTCAAGTACAAGGGTCTCCTCTGGAAAGAGAATGGGCATTAGTAACCTTCAAGAAACTGTAACACCACGAGCCAGATTTAACACGTTCCCTTATTCCATATTTAGTTTCGGATTTTTTTTTTATTTTTTTAAAGATTTTATTTATTTATTTGACAGAGAGAGACACAGCAAGAGAGGGAACACAAGCAGGGGGAGTGGGAAGTGGGAGAGGGAGAAGCAGGCTTCCCGCTGAGCAGGGAGCCTGATGCAGGGCTCGATCCCAGGACCCTGGGACCATGACCTGAGCCGAAGGCAGACGCCTAACGACTGAGCCACCCAGGCGCCCCCCGAATCACATCCTAAAACTGCTCTGAGTTCTGTGCCGTGCTCTATTCTTTCCACAGAGCATCTTCTACAACTCTTCCATCTCCACTGTCTTCTAGATTCATCTGGGTTGATTTTGTAGCTCCAATCTCTTCACTTTCACAGTGGAGCACGCCTTTGTGTGAATATACAACTCATCTGTCTCGTCTCCGGCTGATGGGCACTTGCGTGGTTTTGGGGTTTTTTTGCTCTGCTGCTGGAATGAGCATCCCCTCCTGTTTTCCTGTCTCATACGCCATGTGTGGGAGGCTGCTTTAAGGCAGTGTTTTCTTGAACCCACGGTGCGAGTTTCATTTTGCTACCAAGCACTACATACACACAAAGAACTGAAACAAAAGTTTCATATTTGCTCTTACTAAATATGGGACTCATCATTTTCTAGTCGACTTCATTAAAACAATGCCGCTCACAAATGGATGTAACGGCCCACAGAGGGAGGTCACGCCGTGCAGTCTGGAAACAGCCTGATCCGTGCTCATCTGAACAGGTATAAACTGACACGTCACCATTTTAACTTCAGTTTCCCGACTACGACCGGGTGTGCTGATGCATTGGATCACGGTTGCTTGGGTTTCCTTTTCTTTGAACCGCCTCTGTCTGGGCCTTACCCACATGTCTACTGGGCTGTCTTCCAAGTGATCTGTGTCCTCTCCCTTCATAGCCAAACTTCTCTCAGAGGAGTCTGTTTCTCCCACTCCCTTGTCTTCCTTTCACTCTTCAGCCCCCTGAAACCCCGTCATCTCCCAGTTAAATATCCTCCCCGAGGTCTCCAAGGGACTCTGTTTTTCACACCGATCAACACTTTCCAGTCTTGCCTGTGGCCACGCAGTACTGTTTCCAACAACACGCTCAGTGGTGGCCTCCAGAACCTCCTCTGGGAGGCACCCCCCTCGGACCTTCTATCACCTACATTGCCTGGCCTAGATCCTGAGCCTCTTCCGACTCGTGCCTCTCCTCCACCCCTGGCTTGTCCACCACACCCTCTCCCCTGCCCGCAGTCTTGCAGCAGCTGCCAACACCGCCCCCCCCCCGCCGTCTGAGGTCTCACCCTTGCCAGCTTCTCATAAGATACGCCTCCGGGGCCACAGTCCTCCAGAACATCCCAGCACCAGGTGCCCCACCTTGCCAGAGACCTCACGGATACTACTAGACCACTTACCGCTGCCCCAGGTGCCAAGCTCCCTCCTGCCACTTCCTTCCGCTGGGAGCTCCGTCCCCTTCTTCCCATGCGGGAGTCACTGCCAGGAAGGCCACCCCGATCCCTCCATCCCTCTAGCATCCAAGTGCCCCTCGGACATCACGGCAGAGACTGAGCACCTGCTGCGCTGCCCTCTCTAGCACTCACATAGGGATGCATCTGCTCGACGGCCTTTGGTGGAATGGACACACACAGCCCTCACTGAAAACTGTAAACATCTGCAAAGCAATCAGGCAACATTCCTGGTCGTCTGAATGTGTGACGTGTGCACGTGTCACGCTGCCTTGGATGGCAGGCCCCGTGTTAAGTATCTCTAGTTAGAGAGACTGCCCAAGCTATAAACGATAACCCTGCAGCTGGGCAGCCCAAGTCCTTCCTAAAGAAACCTCTTTTGCTTCTGGGTTTGGAAGGTGAGGATGTGGGGAGGGAGTCCCTACCCAGGTGCACTTTTAGTTACTAGGACTAAGATCCAAACTACCCTTACACTTCGTGTGATGCTAATGGGACCAGTATCAGTTGGTCCTTTCAGAGGCCACAGGGGTTGAACGGCCCAGGAAGGGCAGCCTCGGCCTAACCTCTCCCCATTCTGTGGGGGGAAATGCAGAGTACCGGGCTCAACAAGGCGCCATTCTGGTAAAGGGAGAAAGTTCCATGACCTTCAGCAGAAGCAGGGGGTGCACAGAAGCCTGAAGATTACCGAAGTGACCACCAGAGGGCAAGCGGCTGAAGAAGCTACCACAGACCACACTCTTTAAACCCAATTATACGGATTTTTATTCTCTCTTTAGCGTAAGGAGAGAAAGCTGGGAAAATGTCATCCTGTTTTAAGATCAGAAATGAAAGCAAGGTTCTTGTTTTCTCTCCTTTAAGATCTGGTCTCTTCTGTCCTCTGGTACGATCACAGTAACAGGTGGTCCTATCCCCCCCACAGAATCCCATCAAATGAACGCCACATAAAATTTTCAATTTACAGGCCACACAGTTTTGTGTTTGTCTTACGTAAAATTTATAACCAGATCTCTAACGTACTTTAGGCTTTTAAAAATAGAGTGCCGTGGAACAAATTAAAAAAACCCCAACTGGTTCCGATTCAGCCATCACGTGCGGAGGACCCATGATGTGCCAAGCACTGTGCTCAAAGTGCACTCACAGATGTTAAATAATGTTAGCCCCGGGAAAACTCCCGAAGTAGGTGCTAGGTACAGTGAGTGGTCAGAGTTTTAAGAACTCAAACCATGGACAAGAGTCACGCACATGTGGCTTTGGCTCAAACCGTATCACTCCCAGAAGCACAGGACAGACTGTTGTCTTGTCCATCAAAAGCCTCCAGGGATTCCAGAGGAAGGGTCCAGACAGCCTGACACTGTACTTCTGTGCTTTTAGTAAAAGAGCCCTGATTGTTCTCTGAGAGGGCAGAGACTAGAATGAAGAGAGCTCTAAAGAAGCCTGTCTCTGGGGGTGCCTGGGGGGCTCAGTCGGTTAAGCGTCTGTCTTCGACTCAGGTCATGACCCTGGGGTCCTGGGATCGAGCCCTGCATTGGGCTCCCTGATCAGCCAGGAGTCTGCTTCTCCTTCTGCCTCTGTCCCCCCACCCCCCGCTCATGCCCTCTCCTCTCTCTCAAATAAATACATAAAATTAAAAAAAAAGAAAGAAAGAAAGAAAGAAAGAAGGCTGTCTCTGACGGGGACCCTAGGCACAGAGCCCACACACTCACGTCCAACGCCAAAGGATTCCTCTCTCCCCTTTACTGATGCCCGCCCTCAGTCTCCCCCCACAAGAGGCCTGGCCCACCCTCAAACCACTGTAGCTCTGAGCTCCTCCTCCTTCACCTCGGGAGGATGTGGGGTTCCTGCCTAAGGCTTTACTGTTCCTAACAGTATCCAGCACACAGTGACATCAGTGTCACTCTGGGAACTCCGCTACTGCTCCATGGCAATCCTCATTCTCTACTGAGCTGCACTATTCTTTCCTAAAGGGTGAGATGTGCATACAAAATGGGGCAGACCTCTGGCCACTAAGATGCCACCTCACAAAGCCCACAGATGCCCAGCTCCACACCAGGGCATGGCCTGCCCACCAAACCTCTTCATCTGCCAAAAGATACAGAATGTGGGAATCCAGGTGATTCAGCGAGGCCCAGCACACAGAGTTTACCTGGTGAGGAAGCACACAGCAAGAATGGTTTGCCCACTTGCGGAGAGAAACAGACAAATGCTTTCCTATGGAATAACTAATGGGGATACAGACACGGGACTTCTTTCTTCAGGTCTCCCTCCTTTTAAAGGGGCTGGAACAGGCTGCAGAACAGGCAAGTCTCCCCTGCTCCACCATGTAGGGCCTTGAGAGGAACAGGGAGGAAGAAACCCCCAGACTTTGGTCCTCTGTCATTAGCTTGGACCTCGCAGTGAGACCTCTGGTATACTCTCTGGTTTGGGGATGGAGCCTCTGCAATAGCAGGGGACAAACCTGACTCTGAAAGGCATACTGTATTCTCACTTCAACCAGAAACCATTTTCAACCTGTATCCATCTTGTGGCTCAGGTCCCAAATGAACAGAATGTCACCGCTTCTTACACATGCAGTCATCACCCCCGTGGAATTTAAAGGTTGCTCCCTAGACAGCAAGCTGTGCTGTGTTATATTTATTTAACCTCTGTGTAGGTCACAGACTGGCTGAGTGACTGATGCACCAGAGGACTCCCCGCTCAAGCTACCTCAGCCCCCAGCCCAGGAACCCTGTGCTTGGCAAGGGCTCCTTCGGGTCACTTCAATCCTCCTGGAAAGAAGGTCTGTCCAACCAGTTAAAGAAGCCTTTCAAGCCTTAAGAAGTTTCACGCCTTCTCCCAACTATTGACAGTTATTTCTCTTCCAAGAAAAGAAACTCCTGAGGCCCTTTTCTTCCCCTACAGGTTCTCAAGAGGTACGACTCCATTTTCCCTGGGGAAAATAGGTACTCCAGCCCCACCTTCTTCACAAAGTTCTCTCCTCTCCTCTGAATTGGGCCAACTACAGCAGGGCCCTTGGATCCAAGGTGCAAAGGGGGCTGCAAGGCTAATTAATGGGAAAGGCAACGTACCTTCCGGTTGGTGAAGTAGAGGTTTTCGTGCATATGCACCTTGAGTGAGGGGGCCTTCAGACCTCGCAGGCTGATGACGCCATACTTGGAGCCTCCGACTTTGACATCATTCACTGTGAAGAGCCGGTCACTGTTGGTATCTGCCTGGAGGGAAAAGAGACTACAGGTCACCTCCCTGGCTGAGCCAGGCGAGCTGAGCTGCCCAAGACCATCTGCCCATCTCTCTAGGATCCCATGCTCTGTGCATTTTCATGTGAGTGCGCCCACCCACGAGGGAGGATAGAGCATGGAGGTCACCTAACTTGCCCCTACTCAGCCCAGCTGTCACCCAGCAAGGCTGACAGCTATGTGGTCTCATAAGCAGGAGCAGGGCTAAGGGCAGTGAGGGAGCGCTGTCAGGAAGTCTGAGGTCCGTACAGCGACTCCACTCAGAATTGGGTTTGGAAGAGTCCCAATGTCCACCCAGGTGAACTGTTTAGATGGGCCACATGGTGACATGTAGCCATCACGAAAGCCATACACAATGTGGAAAATGCTAGTTGTACCCCTGTGAAGGGGTGAAAGGAAGAGACAAGACTGGATTCCCATTACACAGGCACTTTTCTCCCCACCAAGTAAAAAAAAAAAAAAGCCCACTGCACTGAAAAAAGAATTACAACAGAAGAGACTGCACTGGGATGTCGGTTTTTTTTTCCTCACTTAAAAAATGTGATTACTAGTTACTTCAAAACAAAAACCCTGTATGTGTTTTATATATATTTATATACACATACACGGGTTTGGATGCTGGTGAAAATGTATTCACTTTGCAAGTTTACCCAGAAAGCACGTTTCCTGAAGAATCATTACAGTGACTAGAATCAGACTGGAAAAACTGATCTCTGGGTGGCAAAGCACCCTTCCCAAAACTCCAGTCCACAAAGCCAGCCAATCAGCTCGACTCTTAACTCCGGGTGACTGGGAAGGTCTCCGAGCCAGTTCAAGGCTTGTGTGAGGTGAAGCACGAAGACTGGGGGCTCGGGCCACACTGAGCAGCATCCCTACCCAGTTTTACCGAGGAACCAGAGGGAAGGGGCTCCTGAGGAGAATGAACCGCAAGAAAATATTCTGATTCAGGTCAAATCGTACCCCCAGACCCTTGGGGGAGTAAAGCCACAGGAGAGAATGTGAGTCCTGGAATACCCCTTACGTAAGGGTTCTCCTGTTGAGGTCTCCTGGGGCAAGACCTCAAGGGTCAGCTCTGTGGCTTCAGATTCTAGTCCTGTCCAGCAGGATCCAATCTGGATCCTTCTCTCATTCTCCTTAGCCTTCCCCCAGCAGGGCTTGCAGGGCAGGCCATGATCTCCTGTAACCTTGAGCTTCTAGTCTAACTCAGTGGACTACGGGGTCCTCTGCCAACATTTCTCTGAACCCTGGGTTCAAGCAGTTGGCTCTGGCTTTGGCCCTGGCTTCCAGCCCAGGTCTAACCTAATGAAGAGAAGACTCTCTGCTCCCTGTAAATGATATGATAAAGGTGTGCCAGATGTGCAGGCCCAGAAGTCCAGGCCTGTGGGCCCCTGCTGCTCAGGTCAGAGCCAGCGAGCAAGGGAGAAACACATGGTTGCTACTGAAGGACACTGGAGCTTCAGGTGTGGCCACCAGATAATGCTCCAGTATAGGAAGGATTAGAAGCCCCTAGTCCACTGCATATCTTTTAGTCTGTACCCAACAAACCCAAGGGAAAATTACTTTGTGACAGTTCTCAGTCAATGTGTGGTGGGCCCAGGCTCTCAGATCGAATGACAGAGCTGTAGTGGGGGTGAGCATGGTCAGCACACGGCCTATCCTGCCAGCTCAGCACCTGCTAGTGGGTAGCCAGCAGGCACACGTTAGAACCGTAAAACCAAGGGGATACTGCCTGCTTTCATGGCACTGGCTGCCACATAATTAGACCTAATGAAAGCCAAGGTTAAGCCACACAGTGTCAGGGGATAAAAGCTGTACCTCTGGCACCCACAGGGAGCTCCCTCCCACTCACCAGTATGAGGTTAAATCGGTCGCTTGCCAAAGCGGAGGGATCCGAGCTCTGAATCTGGACCTTTTTCCTCTGCATGCAGCTCACTCGCAGCTCATGAGCTAAACTGCAGAGGGAAAGAGGGGCAGGGAGGGCATGGACACTGTGCCTAGACACCCATGAAGCAGACTCCGAGGCTCTGCCCTGGCCCACACCCTGGACACCACCTCCCCTAGTCAGCCGACTCTCCTCCCAAGTAACTGTCAGCAAGGGAGCTGAGCAGGATCCCAAATCATCTCAATTATAGAACTCTTAGGAAAACTAAGGCCAAGAAATGGGGGACCCATCCACAGGGTCAAAGAAAGTTAGAACTAGACAAATTTGTTTTTGGATCATCTAGTACAACTCTTTCTTGAGATGAAAAGAATGTGCCTGAGAAATGAAACAGCAATACCGAAGGAGAGCCCAATTAGTAAGAACCAGGTATGGAGACCCTTCCCTCTCCATATCACAGCCACCACCCAACTAAGAACAAAGCAGGTTTTAAGGTGAAGAGAGATCTAACTAGACCTTAACTCTTTTCCTTCTGAAGAGGGGAATACAGGAGAGACCTGCCCTACCTACTCTGGCGGGTAACCCTTGCGTGGCTGGCCTTCCCTGAAGGGGGCCCTGCTCTAAGATAAGTGCTGTGCCCCCTATGATGTTTCTTCACCAGCCCATGCACAGCAGGGGGCAGCAGAACTCAGGGCTCAGGAGCTCAGGCACTGGAGTCAGACGGATCCTGCCCTTTCTAGCTTTACCTTGAGCCAATCGCTCCATTCTGAGCCTCAGTCTCTTCTGAAAACTGGGGGAACTACCAACCTAGCTCTCAGGGTTTTAGTTAGAATATCAGTCATCACAAGTATATGAAGTTTAGTACACATACATCCCTTTAATGCTCTCTTTTGGGTGACAACTGATTGGAAGGGGAGGAGGCAGAAATCTCATGGGAATGAAGTTATAGGACCTTCATTACAATGACAATGATTTCGAGTAACACTGAGGAAACGCCTTGAGAAATTTCTGCTGAGTTTCTTTGCCTAGATCCCTTCTCTGTCTGTGGCCTCCTGCAGGAGACTCTCCCCTTGCTCTAAAGGGAAATGATTTTCTCAGGGCTGGTTTTAGCAGAAGGGAGGCTATGCTTCTCCCCCCACCCCCACCCGCAACTGTGAGGACTCCTCAGAGTGGTTATGTGCTCTATCCTGACTGGATTCTTGGACTATGGAAATAAGAAACAGGAAAAGACCATTCATGGAAAAGCTTAACGAGGCTTTGTCTTACCGGCAGTAACTGGTGACATTGAGAAAACCGAGCTTGCTTTTCTGTAGCAATGAAGACGCATTAAAGCCCATTCTGGCTATTTTCTAAATAAAACCAAAAAGATTCAGTGAAGTTTTAGGTTATGGGATAATGGAGAATGTTTCTAGTTTCATAAGATCTAATAAAGAAGCAAGTGTACTAAGTTGGCAGAAATTATATGTATAGAGATCTGACGGTCTCCTCTCCTTGGCAAGAGGAAAAGTCCGTCACAAGAAAGCACATGTGAGCTGGAAAGTTGGCCTGGTGCCCATGTCTAAGCACCCCATCAATTTACCTGGGGAGCCAGGTGAAGAGATGAAGCCACCCCACTAGTGAGCACAAGAACTGCATTGGTCACTCGGGGCTTCACCATGCTTTCTGTTTGACTTGGGGTGACCCCGGAGCCCCCATAAACCACTGAAAGGTCCTGGCATTTAATCCCCAGAAGGGATGCAGGAAATCCTCATATCCACACACCTTGGTTTTTTATTTAAGATATACAGTTACTGAAACTCTATCATACCAATTCCCAAGATTCCTCTGGGGAAGGACAAGATATAAGAATCACTGATGAAACTTCGAAGGTAAGAAAAGGGGCGGTGGGAGATTTCTTGCCTGTTCTCATCAGAATCTCTTCATCAGATCCCTATGCGGGGAGCTCGATGCCACATTCCCCCAAGTGCACCATGCTAAGGGGCATCTAATCAGCACCTCCCGTCACCAGCGGAGGGGACAGGGTGGCCACCAGGAGTGCGGAGCCCACCTTTTTCTGCTTGTCTTCTTCCTCCAGCAGCTGCAGCCTTTTGCTTTCCATTTCCTTCTGCCGGATGCCCTCCTTTGTGAGGGGGTTGCAGTTGTTATGTCCAGGGAGCAAGCGGAAGTATCGTTTCTTTTCAGGGTCAAAGTAATACCCTGGCAGATCTTTAGTCAAAAGAAACGAAATCCATTTCAACTTAGAACACTGCACGGACCCACCTCTGAAGGATCCCAGGAGCCTGTCCACCCCACCCCACAGACATCTGTCTGTTCTGAGGGGCAGGAAGGGGGCTAACGTTGTCCGTCACCATCCTGTGTCCATGGGGGGAGCCGTCTGCCTCAGGATCCCCATTCCTGACACAGCCAGGATGTTTAGGTAGTGTTTCAATTTGCTCCGGAATTTCCTCCAAGCCAGGAAAGGGCTGGCGACCCACATGGAGTGTACCCACATGCAAGCGAAGACACACAGGGCTAAGAAGGGCAGCCCAAGCACATGTAACCAGATGATGAGGCGGGACGAGGTTTCATCTTTCCCCACAGGCAGGGCCACAGGAGGTCTACTGTCCAACAGACGGCCTCACCTGGCACGGAGGTACTCCCAGCTGTGCCGGATGAGGTCGATGGGGCCTCGTCATCGCCGACGTGGCCAGAATCCTGTGAGCTTTGCCGTGTCACTGAGTTACCCCTGTTGACACACAGTCATAGTAACTCACAGTGAACGGCTGGAGTCCTAGTCATTCTGTGACCGTAGGGCCCTACGGGGGTCAGTTCAGGCAGTTCCATGGCCTTCACCCCAACCCTCTGACCCTTCTGACTACCTGGGGAGCCCTGACCTCTCCCTTCTCCTTGAAGGCAGTTTACCTGCTTCAAATATACAAAAGTTAGGACAAGGTTTTGGTTCCTCATCCTTAACAGGATGTGTGTCACAGTGAGTCCCTTTCCTTATCTCCTCACTTGAGCATTTTGTAAGGTCTTTTTGAAATTTCCAGATGAAAAGAGGAATAATCTTTGCCAATAAGAATATTACCAGCTGGGCTCATTTGTCAGTTCAACAGCAGTTACAAGGCCAGGTGCATTTTATTCTTTACTGGATTTAGCAATACAAAGGGTTTAAATTTTACTTGGGCATACCACCTTACAGATGGAGAAACTGGGGTTCAGGGCACAGAGGTGATCTGCTCAGTTAATACTGGGATAGAGCCATGGTTTAAACACTTGATTTGCAAAGCTACAAGCAGCTTCTGTGGCAATTACAGGCTGAAGGATATAATGATAGAGCAAAACACCTAATTTTAGAATCCTGACAAAATCTGCTTTAAAATCAAGAACTTCCTCCCCATCCCCCCAAAGGAATACAAATTGAATTAAGTATGCTGAAGGAATGAAAGAACTTTCTCTTTTGTCTGTAAATACTAACCATACAGTTTCAGAGAAAATTATTTATTCTCCCTTTTTATGGCCTGGAGCTTTCTGAGGCAGCTCATGTGTAATCGGCAGCAAGAGCAGGAAGGATTAAGTGTCACAACAAATGTCTACATTTCTAGTCTAAGGACTGCTGCTCCATTCTTTCCACACAGAGCCCAGAAGGTGGCTGCCCAGCGTGTTTCCACATGACTCTGCCAAAGCAGAGGTGAGATTCTCTTCTTGCACAGATCACATTTTGCTACACATTGTACTCTTGTGGGAAGGCCTGGGGCCCAAAAAATATCCATGGTTCTCCTTACAAAACATACAAACATTGGGCACTGTCCTGATCGTTCTACAATATGGGTCAAGTCTGCAACTCTGGCTTAGAGTAATAGATTTTATTCTGCCCCTAATGAGGCCCACCATGTATGAAGGGCCTACTCAGAGCCAAGCAGCCCATCAGAGGCTCTCCATGCAGTATTGCAAACCTCGTAAGTATCAGCTCTCTTTTGTATAAGAGTGACTCAGGGTGATTAACTTGCCCAAATTCATATAGGAGAAGGCAGAATGTCAAATCTGGACCTCCTAATTCTAAAGCCCCATTCTTTCCACAACATTTGGTTGGTTTTTGTTACTGTTTAGGTTCACCTGTTCTAGAGAAGCATCTTGGTATTTGTTATCTTCTGACCCTGTACCTAGAAATCTGTCCATTTTAGGAGGAGGTCTGAAGTGTGGAAGAGTTTTGAAATTGGCATGTGGGCCTCTTCTGGTGCAAAGACTTCTGCACGAAGGAAATACAATCTAGTCTCAGCACAAGATAACCTGTGCACACCAGGAGAGGACACCTCCTCACAGTCCAGGGCCAACAGGACTTCTGGCCATAAGAACAGTAAGTTGAAAGTGGAAAATGTCTGCACTGGGGACTTCAACTCAGTATAGACTAGGTTTTACTTTCTAAGTGAGGCAGTGGGTACATGATGTTCACTGTATTATTCTGTATACACTTTTGTGTTTATTAAATACAATATCATATATTTAGTCTTTCTAAGGACTTAGGCTGAATTAATGAAATTAGGTCTCCAGGAAGCTATTTTCATTGGCTGGGAAAAAAGGGAGAGAGACAGAAAAAGTGTGCAAACTAGAAAAATAGCTTTCCAGTTCTATCTGATACTGTCTACTTCTAAGCCTCTGGCTAATGCTGTGGCCAGAGGTCATGGTCACTCTGAAGAGAAAGAGCATGGCCGTATCTCCTCACTACTCCAAGTACGGCAGGCGGGCTGACTTGCAGCAGCAGTGCCCCCCTGCGTTGCGGTGACAGCCCTGGTGACTCGCGCACCTGAGGCCACCACAGGGCTCGAGTGGTCCTGGGTAGCAGCACTTGCCTCTCATCAGAACCCTGTTGTCTGAACCGAGGGTTCTGCTGGTTGCTCCTTCTCCCATGTCTTCTATTCTGCCAGCTGTTTTTATGCATTTCTTCTCCTAAAAGAGAAAAAAAAGCAAGTTCACATGCAAATGTGTGTGTGGGCGCACGCGCAGGAACGTGCTTTTCTGTCTGCTTGATAGCTCCCTCATGCTCAGAGCTAGGCAAGGGGATGGCCCGACGTGGGTTCTCACCAGAGCCACCACACCACGCCTCGCCTGTAAGGGCTGCCTCCAGGTGGAGACAGCGATGAGACCCCAGGCTTCTGGAGCCATTTCTCCAGCTGCAGTTCTTACCTCACAGTTGACACCTGGCCTGCCAATCTGCCGACCTCTGCTTCCTTGGGTCACTGTGTGAGGTGATGACAGAGTCTCACAAGTACTTTAGATGACAGCTGAAGCTGGCAATGAGAACTCTTAGGTTATTCTTCTTTCTTTTCTTTACCAGATAACACCAGAGCATATAATTTTTCTTTCAATCCACACACATCCCTATTCATAGAGAATAGTTGACAGTGAGCACTTTATCCTACACAATTCCAGCACTGAGCAGGGAAAACTGTGAACACAGTTAAACAAGGGCCCGTGTGTAGGACTTCTCAACGTGCTTTATAAAGGTTTTAGCTTCCCGAAGCAAGCCGTTAAAGGGAAAGATGTGCACGTGCATTTTTTTTTAAGTAAGGAATGAGAAAAAAACACTTCTTACTGATATTGCCATAATATTTCAGGTGGCTTTTTCAAGTCTTATCTTGTATAGCCTGAATCTATCACTTAACTGCCAGTTTCAACACTGGGAATCACATTAAGAGTTCTTAAACAGACCAAAATGGTACATGGACCAGCTGCTGTGAGTTCCATGCCTTCCCAACGCCTGATTTTTTTCCCCCACTCACAGGAGACAGTGATGACATCTTACTGAATATGCTTTTATTTATTTATTTTTTACTGAATATACTTTAAAACCACATTCAAATGCCATAACAAAATTAGAGAAACATTTCTAGGGCTGAATGAAACCCAAGAATAGATTAGAAAACTATTTGCCTTTATTTCCCAACTTCTCCTTCTGAGTGGGGAATGCCTGTTGGCATCAGAGCACCAGAAGTCTGGACTCCCGGTCCAGTACTTACCGCAGCATTTTGTGAATTCTGTAACCAAGTCCTCAGTTTGCTTGCTTCAGACAGTTAGTCTGCCTCCCCCACGGGGCATTTCCACAACCTGGATTACTTGCACCAGACGCTCTCCAGTCCTGTGCCAGAATTAATAAGCACCACTGAAGAAAAGCATGTAGCTGTGCTGAGGTGGAGCTATGAGAAATGTCTTATTTTCATCCCCTGATGAATTAAATGACTTTAATTATTCCTAGTCTGAGTCACTCCTGACAGCTCAGGGTGTTATCCCTGTCCCAACATAGCCCTTTCTGCTTTCTTCCAGTCCTCCTTCCTTGCTAGCATAGCTCCCTCCCTCACAGAGAAGAGAGATGTTGCCAGGTATGAATACTCCCAACTTCCCTCGCTTCCCTTCCACAAATACCTGCCTTTAATATTCCCAATGGTCTTCCCGCTTGTCTTGGAGAAACGGGTGTCCTTGTGCCTTTTCCTGGCAAACCCATCCCACCTGGCTATTGCTCTCATTCCTTCTCAGACCCTACAGATATCTTTCCCGTATGTTTAACCAATTTCCCCTGTCCTTACCTCACCTATGGACATGCTCAGGTTTTTCACTTGTATGTGCTTCATCTCTGACCCAAAAGGACGAGGATATCCTGAGCATGTGGTCTATGTGCACACATTCCACTGCTTGTTTCCCAGTCACTCCTCAACCCACTGCAGTCAGGGCTCCTCCGTCGCCTTTCTGCTCAAATGCTCTTGTGAGGTGTTTAACTAATGATCCCCCTACCTGCCAAAGTTAGTGATCTCTCTTTATCTAGCCCTTATTCCTAAAACATGTGATGCCACAAAGCTTCCCTCTTCCTTTGGCTTCTGGAATAGCTTTCTCTTGGGTCACCTGCCCTGTTATCTGTTTTCTACTGTTCTGTCCTAGATCCTCTTCTTTCCTACATATACCATCTCACCTGCCAACACAGGTTCATCTCCAACGCCTAGCGTCCCTCCTGGGCATCAACTTCTTCTACCGCCACTCCTCCTTCCACAGCGACAGCAGACTCAGCAGGTTCTGAGCCCAGAATCTCTCCCTAGTTCCCTGTGTGCTCTTGTACCTATCCATATTTCCCTTCTCTGTAAATACCACTGCTGCCCTCACCCCTGTCCAATAGTATAACAACTTTATTCACTTTCCTAAGCAACCCATTTCATGGCTCCTGGACACCACATGCATGGGTCTCCCTAAGGATCAATTACCTTAATCTTTATTTACGAATAAAGTTGTATTTACTAACTAGTTAAGTTACAAGCTAAGAGGCACTATGCAGAGGAAGGGAAATAGGGCCAAGTGTTAAGAAAACTGGTAAGAAAAAGAAGCCATATTGACCTAAAGATTATTATTAGCAACTCTATAAAAAGATAAAAATTTCTCTAGATTGCACATTCTGTACACAGGACTCCAGTTTGCTTTAATTATGAAATAATGCAGGACTACAGTGAAGAACACATATAATGGTAAGTCAAAGGCTTCAGATCAGGAGGCAGGAGCATGGCATGCCTGCACCATTATCCTCAAAAGAGGGGCGCAAAATCAAGGACATAGTAAATCATGAAATAACTAGTGACTGCTGATTTTGGAACATTTCTAAACCACAAACTCACACAAGCACAGGGTCAGGTACTGCAACACAAGGAGAGGCTGACGACGTTAACTGATTTAATAAGCATGATCAAGCCAAAGTCATTTAAAAAAGTCACGATAAATAGTTGACTGAACACAGAAAGGATTAGAGGGGGATGAAATGATACCTTTTCGTACTTTTAAGTCTATTTCAGGGGTGGGGAGAGTGTCTTCCCCTAATGCAGACATAGTTCATTCTCAGTATCCACTTTATGCATTATGCTTTCCCTTATCACTCTGTACTAAACTCTGTACTCCCATCTCATATTAGGTGTAATGTAAATTCTCTAAGCAAAGATCTTGCCTTGTTCCTTCTGTTCCTAACACCCATGACCTAGTTGGTTCTCAGTAAATGTTCACTGAACTAAACAAAAAAACCCAAACAACCCCACAGCTACTTTAAAATCCCAGGTAGCCCCTTTCTGCTCTAGGCATTTTCATTTGCTATTCAACACAGATTTACAGAGGGCCCACTGGGCCCTGGGGAGCAGGCAGAGATAAATAAACTGTGGTTCCCATTATCAAGACACTTGCTGATCACCAGGGACACAATCATGAATGAACCGATTCCTGCAGTGCCTCATAAGTGAAGACCCAGGTCTCTCCAGGTGTAGCAAAGGAGGAGAGTCATTCTTTGAGTGGAAGGGCTGGAGGAGAGACAGAGTCTGAACTGCAGCTGGAAGAATGAGTGTCAGGCAAGGGGGTGAGGAAAGGGGCCTGCAAGCAGTTTGGTATGGCCAGAGCCTAAAGTACAAGGGGTTGGGGGATTGAAGCTGGAAAGGGAGGCAGGGCCAGCCCATGAGGGCTCTGACAGGATTAGACACACATGTTGGAAAGGGCACTTTACAGGCAGCAGAGAGAATAAGCTGGAAGTTAAGGACTGCTGCAGCAAGCTAGGGGAGATGAACCTTCCCACTATGGAAGTGACACTTGGGACAGAGGATCCTGAATTTAGAAACACTCAGGAGGTGAATTTCATGGGAGAGGTGGAGACAGAGAAGTGAAGAACCAGTAAGTGACTGACTGGTAGGGTCCTGACCTGGGAGACCAAGATTAAGGACAAAGAGCAGTTTGGGGGTGAGAAGAGAATCAGTCTCATTTTGAACAAACCAATCTCAAGATGCCTGTAGAACACCAAGGCAGGCAACTGTAAACAAGCTCTGGGAATCCAGAGAGGAAACAAAGCTAAGGATATAGATTTGAAAGTCATCAACACATGGTGACAAAGACTCAGACAAATGTAGATCCAAAGCCAAATACATAGTGAGGCTTTGATTTCAAAATTAGAGATAGTTTTATTGGATAGTAATAGGAAATCCAGCACGTATCAGTTTTTAGATCAGTGTGTCTTAATGAGGACAATTTTATCCACCAGGAGACATGTGACAACGATGGGAGACATTTTTGTTTGTCACAACTTGGGGGGGGAGGAGGTGGGGCTGGTGGTGGCTGCTATTGCCATTTAGTGAGAAAAAGCCATTGATGCTAACCATCTCACAATACACTGCGCATTAATCCAACAACAGTGCTCAGGTGGAGAAACTCTATTCTTGCTAGAAGTACTAACAATTTGCTGGATCAAATGCTGAATCCCAGCTCCTTTGGAGCTGCTCTGCCAGGCAGGTATTAAGATGTGTTGTGAAAGGCTGGACCTGGCTTTGCCTTTCAGAGAATCTTTTAAGTACTTGAAGGAGTAAAGAAAAATAATTTCTTTTTTTTTTTAATTTTAATTTTTATTTTTTTTAAAGATTTTATTTATTTATTCGAGAGAGAGATTGATAGAGAGAGAGCACATGAGAGGGGATGGGGTCAGAGGGAGAAGCAGACTCCCTGCCGAGCAGGGAGCCCGATGTGGGACTCGATCCCGGGGCTCCAGGATCATGACCTGAGCCGAAGGCAGTCGCTTAACCGACTGAGCCACCCAGGCGCCCCAAGAAAAATAATTTCTGAGAGACCATTATTCTGGAAAGACAATGTTAATCTCAAACAAATAAACATGATTTAACTTTTTGGAAAATGACCAGGCAATACTTATCAAGTAATTTAAAAATGTACAAGCCTTCTTTTGGGAATCGATCCTAAAAAAATAATCCAAAAGATTATAAAAATTACTACAAATTTCCAATCACTTTATGAGGCTAGTATTACCCTGTTACCAAAACCAAAGACATCACAAGAAAACTATATATTGGGGTGCCTGGGTGGCTCAGTCGTTGAGTGTCTGCCTTCGGCTCAGGTCATGATCCCAGGGTCCTGGGATCGAGCCCC